GACCAGGGGATGTTAAACAAGAAGGGAAATCTGCAAAATCCATTATATTTCCCAACCTAATAGTGAAGAGTTATATTTCACATGATAGAATATGATTATTGTATAGACAGGTCGATTCACTAGTTACAGAATTCCCAAGTAGATTTAGAAATGATCAACATTGAATTCAGACAAAATTAAGCATAAAAAGAGGAGAAAACTGCAAATAACAAATAAATACACAAGAAAACGAACTTACTTCTTTGAAAATAAAACGGATTTTTGCATTTTCCTCTTTCTCCTGCTTACTAAATTCTGTATTTGTATTTATTAGATATGAACCTACTACTACTACTACTACTTACTACTAACCAGCAACTACTGACACAGATAGATCATCGGGATTTTTCGTAATATTTGACAAAACATTTTCAGAATTCTGTGAATTCGGAGTCGGTACTGAATTGTCCATAGTAAGATCTTGTTGTTGAGTAGCATGATGATGATTGTTTACGGCAGAGTTATGTGAATTACTCACTGTAGCACAGCATTGTGTCAAACTTGACGATGATAGCGATGAAACTGAAGCATGGTTAGCAGTAGCTGAATCAATGATCCCAGTTGATAGTTGCTGATTCACATCCATATTGTTATTATCATTATTATTAGTAGTATTAGTAGTAATAGTAGTATAGTTAGTAATATCATTATTTGATGTTTTAATAGTTTTGGTTGCTAAATCACAAAATATGTTCAAATGATCATTAGTTAACAGACCATATTTCGATGGTTTAATATACAACAATAGAATCGAAGCTAAATGTGGAAATGACTCCATAACATAATCACATTCATTAGTGGCATTATTAATGCAAGTACGATCAATCAATGAATTGGCATAACTGAAATACGCTCCAAATTGAATACTGGATAAACATAAATTTAAAAAAAGAAATAAACAACAAAGGGCTATGACATATATATATATATATATATATATATATATATATATATATATATATATATATATTCATATGACTGCACAAAATTTTTAATATGAAAACCTAATTTATTATTATTCACTAACTGGTTTGATATAGTATTGATCAAGTTTATTGAAAAGGTACAAATAAACCTACAAATCTGATGGATCAGTGGGGTTGGAGGCACGAGCACATGCGTCGAGCAAACAAAAAATCAAAGATAAGCCAAGCTAAAACAACAGAAAAAAAAACACACTTCAGATTAAATTATTTCGAAATTTGAAAAATTCCCATATTTTAAATTTAGAAAAACATAGATATAAGCGAACAATATTGTTTTCGATTAGATCCTTATCAGGCTTTACTCTAATATACAGTAATATTTATATGCATATACGAAATTATTAAACTAATCAAGGTACTTTATGAGTCAATGATAACATTGATTTAAGCCTTTATTATTCTAATCAAAAACTAGTAACACCAGTCATCACACTATCAATTTGTACTTTTCACTTATTATGTTTATTTATGTAATCATTTCCATTGTTATCATTGTCTCATAAACTGTATTAGTTTAATAATTTCATATGTGCATATAAATATTACTGTATATTGGAGTAAAGCCTGATGATGATCTAATCGAAAACAAGATTGTTCGCTTATATATGTTGTTCTAAATTATTTCAATCAATAAAATGAAACAATAGTGTAATACAAAAGAATGGACAGTTAGAAAGTAGAGAGAACACTGCGATAGGCTGATTATTACTGATTTTACAAATAAATTTGGTTTCGTATCACTTTGCCTTAATATAATTTTATTCAAAAAGAGTCGTATAGCTATATAAAATGTAGAAAATACGACTGTTACAATTACAAAACAGGGTTTTAGCTGTCCTACTCTGGACACTAGATCAATACAGTGGGGCTAGACAGTGTAATTATTGGTCCAATAGATCACGGATACTTGATCACCTAAACTCAAATACTCAAACTCAACAAACAGATATATAGGTCAGAAGGGCGGTGTATTATCACACAATAGAGAGTATTCAACAAGCAGGCTCACAGTGGAACAAAAGCAAAATCGTTTTTGTATATAGGGTAATCATTTACGTTTGATGTACCTGACTGGATATGTTTTTCCTCGCTCATTGAGCAGTCAAAACTTCATTTAACTGACATTTCAATGAAGAAATTAAGTACTTTGTTTTTCCCTTTCAATCTGATGAAACTATGCACTCAGGCGAAGGTCATTTTGATTTGTCAAAGTTAGGATAATCGGTTAAAGCTGACTATCGAAACGACACAAAATATTACTTTAACAAACTAAATAATAAGCTACACTTAGGCTACAAGTAGTTGTCACTTGTAGACTGCTCTTATTATGGAAAGATATATCTTCTCGTGGGAACTAATTTAGTGCTGAAGGTCATATAGCACTAACATAGTAATGGCAGATTCTAAAGTGCAGTTACATTGGGGGCCAGTCACGTAAAAGCTCTTTACTTTTAGATCTTACTACCATAATTTGAAATCTACTGAAATAGGCGAGATGTCCTTTTATTTTACTAAAATTAGGATCATCAGAGATGTTCGTTATGTGGAAAAAAACTTACTGGCAACAAATTTGGGTATAGCCAGTAGTATGACTATTAAGCTTCTTTAATAAAGCATAAAATTTATTTGAAATTAGATAACCTAAACCAGCTGACATTTTTTAACATAATTAGGCTGTAATTCAACATTACAAACATTTAGTCAACTGTTTATCTGCTTAAAACAATTTAAAACAATCATAGTTAATTAGTTGAGTATTAGGGGAAAAAATAGTCCAAACATTCAGACAGATAATAGTATTTCGAACGATAAGTTAAACAAAATAGACTAAAACTCAATTAAGTCATACACATATGGTGTATTTGTCTAATCCATCAGTTTCTAAGAACAGTTTCAATGTATTTGTAGATGTCATTACCAAGTTTTGATTTGATTCTCTAAAGAAGTAGCTTACATTGAGGGATGAATCGTCAGAAAATTTAAAATTTAGATTTTTCCACTCATCTGGATATTACAAATATATTATTTTTATTAGTTGTAATGTATGTTATGAAAATGATTGAGGATAGAGTAAAGTTGTTATGACGAAGTGTAAACGGAAAAATCTTAAGGAAATCAAAAGTGTAATATGTACTCAGTATAAGATTAAAATCAATAATTCACTTACTTTACACGATAAAAGAGATTTCAAATTATCAGTTATAGGAATAGTTAACTGTGAATCATAATTCATCTTTAATGCTTCAGGAAAGCATAACTTCAAGAAATCGTTAATATGTTTCAATTGATATATAATTTCACGTAAATGAGGATAGAATATGGAAGCAGCCTATATTAATAATAATAATAATAATAATAAAATTCAACAGTAGATTTATTCAAATTTAATTGCACAGATTGGCAAAACAACAAATTACAGTAATTTAAGGAATATTTGTGAAGAATTGTGTAAGCATTATGAACTGATATGCACTGAAGAAACACTGGAAATGATGAAACATTCAGAAGTTGTTTTACTGCAGCTTAGGATCCCTTAACAGTAATAACTCGACATGTATTGAGCATCTTTGTATCTTATAGTATAAAATCCACTTAGTAGAAAGTTCACAGTGTACATTTTCAGTCGACTCATGATACAGAGCGATTACACAATTAATCTGCAAACCTACATGTCCTTGAACAGTCAACTTCTCAGAGGTAATAGTCTAGGGAAAAATGGCTATTCAGTGCTACCTGGTTTTCATCAATCGGTACGTGACGCAGAAGCTGCAAAATATATGCAACCGTTGGAGTTGCCACACCATATCACCACAAGAAGATGGAAACATCAAGACAAGTACCAGGGTAGTAGAAGTAGTAAAACTATCAGTGGAGGTAGAGAAGATTATACACGGACAATATGATTTTACAAGACAAAATGAGTTTGCAGGATAAAAGATAATTTTAGAACTGAATATCTACGATCAGTAAAATAGCGAGTGTGTCTGATCCATATGGTTGGCTAGAGTAGTTTTAACGACGGAGCAATGAGCTGAAAAATACTAGAAGAATGGATCACGTGAACTGATAATTTCCTAAAACAAAATCAAACATTAAAGATTCAAAGTGAATATATATCAGATTATCAAACTACTGTTGAATATCTACAAAATATCTCAGTGATGATGGGATTACGTACCAGATAACAATAAGAACAATACTTTCCGTGACAAGCCGATAATTATACCAACTAAAATAACTTTATTCTCAAGACGCTACTCCCCTCACACACACACATACATACACAGTGATACATTCCAAATGATCTCATCTAGTTTAATATTTCGAATAATACCACATTACGTCTTTTTATCTTTACCCGAGTATTTGAACATGCATAATGTGTGCGTCTGTATGATTCAGTGTATTTTAATGTCCTTAACAATAAAAGTAAACACGAGAATCAGATTACTTTGCTAGATGAGAGTTACGGTTACTGATAAGCACACAACTGGTCGCTTGAAGTTTGTCTTCTTTCGATACCCTATTTCGGTTGGTAAATACCTTATATTAGGCTACAGATCGTATCGTCCTAATTTTAAAAAAACCCGTGATTAGAATCTATAACGTAAAATGTCTAAAAATTGAAAACTTATCCTACAAAGTATAAAAATAAGTTGGATTCATACTGGTTCAACTATCTTAAATCAATAATTGAAATGTGGAATTTCAACTAGGAAGTTTTAACGTTGAGAAAACAACCAGCTGTGTACAAACACAACACAATTTTGTAGTCATAAGATAATGAATAAAAACTTGAAATAACTAATCTGTGAAAGTGGTTTTAATCAATTGGAAATTAAACATGAAATATACACATTTCGACGTCGATGTGATATATATATATATAAACCTTTAAGTATGTTCGATGATATCTTGGTCAACAGAAGTGGCGCAGTGATATTTAGAACGCAGATATAGCAGTTTGGTATTTTTCACGATGATTCCACAACAAGAATATTCCATGAATCAAAAAGTCTTTTCAATTATCATAAAACATGTCTCAAATCCAGCACTACTTAACACTACTGAAGAGTCCCATATTGGAACGAAACGGCCATCCAGTGCTTCCAGGTTTTCAGTGGTGGACTTGTGAATTCAACTGTGACAAAAAGAATGATAAATTAACAACCTTCAATAATGGAGCTTTCTATTAGAAAATTCAACAAAGCCAAGATTTCCAACATGATTCACCGATTACAACAAGCAAAAAACAAGGGAAAATAAATGACTAGATCAGGAGTTCCGTATAGTGCGAACCAAAGGACTAAATGACCATGACTAAATCTTATAACCGTCTAGGTTATTTGTAGGAACTGTAAAGTAACCTATCACAAAACAGTTCTAACTTAATCAAAAATTAGGACTTTGGATATTGTCAATGATTAAAGATTGACATTTTTGAAATGGAAAAGAGAATGGCAAATGATGAGTAAGAGAGCTTGTAAAATTGCTACATATGTACACAAGTTTAAATAAATTGAGGAACGGTCAAAGCATGTTCAAAACACATCGTAAATACAACTATGATTAGTTCATGAGGAACGGGATACAGGAGGTTTATAATTTTAATATGCTATCAACGTCTAGAAAACCACTAAACGATTAAAGATGTTGACGGGGCTCATTTGTTTCACTTTGACGTCATGCTTTTTGACAGAAGTAATGGCCATGGTGATATTATGGTACGAAGAGAAGATTGAAACGACTTCAGTGAGTTTTAGACCATTGTCATCCGGTCAGAAAAGAGTTTGTAAAAGACTAGGTCACAGAAAATAAATAATAATAGTAGTGAAAAGGGTATATAGGTTTAGTATAATTAATTAAACTACTAAGGACTTTTATATGTTCTGTGTGGGAATCGGAAAATAACGACATATAAACTTGTCTAAACAAAGATACTCCCTGTCTTCTTGAACACTCATAAAGACGTAAATAAATTTGTATGAGTCCCCAAAATGTTTCTAGTTAGGATTGGGATGAGAAGCTGTTAATTACAGTTGAAGTCAAGAGACTAAGTGGTTTAGGGTTATGATTAACGCAGATTGTTTACTTGAGTGTTATATATAATCTACATAGAAAGAACTCGATACGTAAGGTGGTAAAATGTAGAGTCTGATATGCATGTATGTAAGTTTAAGTTGCTATACTCTACTAACACAACGAGATGAAATTGCCGGGACAAATCCCAGAATAGTAAACGCAGTAACAGTCATTAGTGGGAATAGAAAGGATTAAACACTGAAGATACGATCCAAGAAAATATGAGTAACTAGAATGAAATAAAAGAAATTACGATGAATTCAGAAGCTTAGAATTTAGGGGAGGGAACCGAGGGATGGGTAAACCCGCACCACTGCAAACGATTTTGAACTATGCATCCGATATGCTCAACACAATTCTTAACTCATGACGCTAAAAATTAATTTTTCAATATCATTTTAAACGTTTTGAATACCGTACAAAGGTATCTGCAATACTCGTTTTACGTGATACATAAGAAAAGCCCTTCATTCTCAAATTTTGTGTGAAAATCCAAAAGTTACTTCTCGACCTTGGTTGGCTCGTCTTTATGTGCTTACTTTAGCTGAGTCCACAAATGATTCGAGAAAACGATATATTAAAACTTATACCAAATAATCTAATTAGTAACGCGATGATCGTCATTAAATCAGAATGTTTTGCCTGTTCACAATAAACTGTTGTATAATATAAGGAGCGGTATGCTCTATATTGCTTTTATACTCTATAGTTTTAAGGAACTAAAAGGATACATATGCTAATAATATTAAGAATGGATAAAAATAACAACTCTCTTAGGATATAAAAGAAAATATGAAGGATTGAAGAACGTGAGTGAAAGATTAAGAGTGGAGAAAACATAACCTACTTCATTTATTGTAGTTGGCCAAAGCTGACGAAGTCGAAGGAAATCATGAATAAATTGTGACAAATAATTGATTTGAATTTTCTATAAAAGAAAAAAAATTTTAAATTCGAGAAGTATTAAATCTTGCAATGGTTAATACGAACTGAATGTATGAAATTATCAAGAAAGTGTATAAAATTGATTGGAAGAGGTGAATTTCAATTATATTAGTATCTCGATGTTAATTAGTTTGGTTTCGAAGCAATAATAAACAATCTGCTTACTGTATAGAATAGTCCAGAAACGATTCAGTACTAAACTACCAACTTTCGCTTATATACCTATTTATTAACATATACTGATTGTGATCAACCTATATAACTTATTTATGTAAACCACAACCCATGTTTTTTTTTAAATATTAGCTCTCTTGCTATAAACAAATTTGTGCATTCATGTTTGAGCTAAACTTTGTAGTGAAGCTTAAACCGAACCAGGTGAAACGGAGCTTGAACCCGCTACGTAGTGGGTGAAAGTCTACCATCCTAACCACTGAACTATTGGACTCCATTTTCATCCCTTTTTGACAACTATTTTATCATTTAGAAAGAAAGAAATTTTTTTAGAAAGATGTATTTATTAGGAGAAATAGTGAGAACTTTAAAGTTCCACATAAAAATCCAATAGTTGAACTAAAAGTTTCATTTAAATAAAAAATTATGAAACAACTTACTGTCGGTAGGTGATGTAGAGTTAAACACCATAGACGCATTCCTTTATGAATAGAGAAAAAACTATCTGGCAATGAAAACAGACCATTCTCAACGACTGATATGAATTCTTCTTTAGACGTGGCTTCGCTTGTTATCGATGATGACTGGAGTAGTCCACTGATTAGTTGATTAATCAGTTCTTGTTGATAATCTAACAGTCGGGAACGTCTATGGAAGAGAGAAGCAACCAAATCAAGGAATATATACACAAATACAGTTTAAGAAGACGGAAGTGACAGAATCTTGTAGCTTTTTGTTAAAGCAGATGCAGATTATCCCTTTCTGGAACAAAGTCGTAGTACGAATGGTGTTTATTGTATATTTGATCATTAAGTTTGATATCTTTTTTGAGTGTTTTATTTAAATGTTTCCACGTTTTGAACTGTAAACAGGAACTTTAGCGCGATATAATATAACACAGTACAGCTCTTAAGTGAGGAAAATCAGGTCAGAAAGTAAAAAAAAATTATAGATCTACAAAAAGTATATGGTATACTTACGCGTCATTTTGAACAACAACTCTTTTAAGAGATAAGGAAACTTCATCTAAGATCAGTAATATTGAAAACATCTAAACAGATGAGAGGGAAAAAAATTAGAGAAAATATAAAAGTCACCAAACATTATAAGTAAGCATCTTTATATAAATAGATAATGTAAATAATGATATTATTTACATTAGTTTTACTATTTAAAAAATTCAAAGCTTCCCGACAGTCTTGTTTCGTTTTCTGAAAGCTGTGTTAATTACGAACGACAGCAAGCTGTTTTTAGGGCAAAATGCAATTCAAAGAAACACATCCGTGCGACATATACACGACTATTCAACAATAATCCTTGATTGATGAGACAAGGTGTAGAACTCAGGAAAAAACTTGTCACTCGAAGTCGGAAATTTAACGGGACAATTCTGTTTACATAATCAAGAAAATGGACTTGAGACATTTGATAAAAAATACTTAACCAGAAGCGAAAACAATCAATTAAACGACAACAAAGATCAGTGAGCAAATATGAATTGGATAGTCATTAAAGCGGGCTTCCTTAAACATCAGAAGTACCGTTTATTAACAAGGGGAAAACTAGATGATTTGAGGGCTTTTTAGCAAGCTTCTGTAATAAATTCAGGAGCTAGTTATTAAAACTTGATTACACTAAGGAGCACCAATCTTATAATATTCAAGATACTCCATATCTCTGTGAGTATACCTATTACAATCCCTTTTTCCATTGTTGAAAAATAGGTTTGGGTGTCTTGATATTGACGTTTGTTGTACATCTGAAACGTGTATTGAAAACGAGTGCAGTACAGCAAATTCGATGCTTGCTACTCGATAAACATGATTCCCAAACAATTATCCAGGGATCCTGTTGTATCTTCGTCCAATTTAGCCGGGGGTCAGTGTCACACAAGCGGCATCAATCGATTGGATCCCATCAACACTTGTTAATGTGGTGCTAGAGTGGGTAGCCCCACAAAAATGAGAGAAAAATTATCTGGGGAACATTGTCCTTCTGTGATATCCGCCTATCCCCCGACAGGTTACAACCTCTACTAAATCAAGGATATAGGATACCATCGGTTAAATGATGTCAAGAAAGAGCATGCGACAGATATTCGAGAGCTAGTCGAAGATAAGAATGCACAAATTGAGCATATAAGCATAGAGTAATTATAATTGCTTATGGTAACAGTCTTATCGAAACGTTGCTTAAAGCAATTTTATTTTCAGGTATCAAAATAGAAACATAGAGTCTAAAAGGCGCCGATAAAACATCCACATACGCAACACCTAACAAAATAGGCACAACAAGAGAGAAAACAAATAACAACGTAACTTACACACCAGAGAATCAAATGACGAAAAGAGAATTCGTTTTCAATACAAAGTTACACTAAATTTTAGAAAATATATGAAAGATACAAGTGCCAAAAAATAAAACGCCGACACAATAAACTAAAACATACACGTTCAATTTGAGCGAGAATCAGCAAACGACGACGATTAGCCTTCACATCAGATGACTCAGAAAGTGAAGAAATATAATCACAACCATCAACCTACAAATAACAATAAAACAAATAGCAAAACATAACAACAACAACGGCAAAAAACTTTAAAATAAGATAACAAATAAAACCAACACACAGATGACCAACAAAAATAACAAGAAAAACATAGTAACACCAGAATATATATGTTACACTAGATATCGTGAAAAATCAGTCAACACTCGCCAAACCTTCAAACACCAATATTACAACGAAAAATCATCAACACAAAATCAACCCCATATACAAAATACTCAACATTCACATACACACACAAAATAAAACATGTACAACACACACTCCTTCATCATCATGTAGACAGAACATGGAACACGACTACGCAAATTAACATCGTCGTCCAACGAGAAATCTGTCCAACCATCAATGTCACTCTCATTACACCCACATATGTTAACAAGCAACAAGTGGATTGGTTGAGAGTACTTACATGCATTACACAAACTAAACCATCAAAACACACACAACCTGAACAACGGAAACATAACAGGGAACACCAGTGCTCTCCATTATCATCATTCACCAAACATTCAAACACCAATATTACAACGAAAAATCATCAACACAAAATCAACCCCATATACAAAATACTCAACATTCACATACACACACAAAATAAAACATGTACAACACACACTCCTTCATCATCATGTAGACAGAACATGGAACACGACTACGCAAATTAACATCGTCGTCCAACGAGAAATCTGTCCAACCATCAATGTCACTCTCATTACACCCACATATGTTAACAAGCAACAAGTGGATTGGTTGAGAGTACTTACATGCATTACACAAACTAAACCATCAAAACACACACAACCTGAACAACGGAAACATAACAGGGAACACCAGTGCTCTCCATTATCATCATTCACCAAACATTCAAACACCAATATTACAACGAAAAATCATCAACACAAAATCAACCCCATATACAAAATACTCAACATTCACATACACACACAAAATAAAACATGTACAACACACACTCCTTCATCATCATGTAGACAGAACATGGAACACGACTACGCAAATTAACATCGTCGTCCAACGAGAAATCTGTCCAACCATCAATGTCACTCTCATTACACCCACATATGTTAACAAGCAACAAGTGGATTGGTTGAGAGTACTTACATGCATTACACAAACTAAACCATCAAAACACACACAACCTGAACAACGGAAACATAACAGGGAACACCAGTGCTCTCCATTATCATCATTCACCAAACATTCAAACACCAATATTACAACGAAAAATCATCAACACAAAATCAACCCCATATACAAAATACTCAACATTCACATACACACACAAAATAAAACATGTACAACACACACTCCTTCATCATCATGTAGACAGAACATGGAACACGACTACGCAAATTAACATCGTCGTCCAACGAGAAATCTGTCCAACCATCAATGTCACTCTCATTACACCCACATATGTTAACAAGCAACAAGTGGATTGGTTGAGAGTACTTACATGCATTACACAAACTAAACCATCAAAACACACACAACCTGAACAACGGAAACATAACAGGGAACACCAGTGCTCTCCATTATCATCATTCACCAAACATTCAAACACCAATATTACAACGAAAAATCATCAACACAAAATCAACCCCATATACAAAATACTCAACATTCACATACACACACAAAATAAAACATGTACAACACACACTCCTTCATCATCATGTAGACAGAACATGGAACACGACTACGCAAATTAACATCGTCGTCCAACGAGAAATCTGTCCAACCATCAATGTCACTCTCATTACACCCACATATGTTAACAAGCAACAAGTGGATTGGTTGAGAGTACTTACATGCATTACACAAACTAAACCATCAAAACACACACAACCTGAACAACGGAAACATAACAGGGAACACCAGTGCTCTCCATTATCATCATTCACCAAACATTCAAACACCAATATTACAACGAAAAATCATCAACACAAAATCAACCCCATATACAAAATACTCAACATTCACATACACACACAAAATAAAACATGTACAACACACACTCCTTCATCATCATGTAGACAGAACATGGAACACGACTACGCAAATTAACATCGTCGTCCAACGAAAAATCTGTCCAACCATCAATGTCACTCTCATTACACCCACATATGTTAACAAGCAACAAGTGGATTGGTTGAGAGTACTTACATGCATTACACAAACTAAACCATCAAAACACACACAAACTGAACAACGGAAACATAACAGGGAACACCAGTGCTCTCCATTATCATCATTCACCAAACATTCAAACACCAATATTACAACGAAAAATCATCAACACAAAATCAACCCCATATACAAAATACTCAACATTCACATACACACACAAAATAAAACATGTACAACACACACTCCTTCATCATCATGTAGACAGAACATGGAACACGACTACGCAAATTAACATCGTCGTCCAACGAGAAATCTGTCCAACCATCAATGTCACTCTCATTACACCCACATATGTTAACAAGCAACAAGTGGATTGGTTGAGAGTACTTACATGCATTACACAAAATAAACCATCAAAACACACACAAACTGAACAACGGAAACATAACAGGGAACACCAGTGCTCTCCATTATCATCATTCACCAAACATTCAAACACCAATATTACAACGAAAAATCATCAACACAAAATCAACCCCATATACAAAATACTCAACATTCACATACACACACAAAATAAAACATGTACAACACACACTCCTTCATCATCATGTAGACAGAACATGGAACACGACTACGCAAATTAACATCGTCGTCCAACGAGAAATCTGTCCAACCATCAATGTCACTCTCATTACACCCACATATGTTAACAAGCAACAAGTGGATTGGTTGAGAGTACTTACATGCATTACACAAACTAAACCATCAAAACACACACAACCTGAACAACGGAAACATAACAGGGAACACCAGTGCTCTCCATTATCATCATTCACCAAACATTCAAACACCAATATTACAACGAAAAATCATCAACACAAAATCAACCCCATATACAAAATACTCAACATTCACATACACACACAAAATAAAACATGTACAACACACACTCCTTCATCATCATGTAGACAGAACATGGAACACGACTACGCAAATTAACATCGTCGTCCAACGAAAAATCTGTCCAACCATCAATGTCACTCTCATTACACCCACATATGTTAACAAGCAACAAGTGGATTGGTTGAGAGTACTTACATGCATTACACAAAATAAACCATCAAAACACACACAACCTGAACAACGGAAACATAACAGGGAACACCAGTGCTCTCCATTATCATCATTCACCAAACATTCAAACACCAATATTACAACGAAAAATCATCAACACAAAATCAACCCCATATACAAAATACTCAACATTCACATACACACACAAAATAAAACATGTACAACACACACTCCTTCATCATCATGTAGACAGAACATGGAACACGACTACGCAAATTAACATCGTCGTCCAACGAAAAATCTGTCCAACCATCAATGTCACTCTCATTACACCCACATATGTTAACAAGCAACAAGTGGATTGGTTGAGAGTACTTACATGCATTACACAAACTAAACCATCAAAACACACACAAACTGAACAACGGAAACATAACAGGGAACACCAGTGCTCTCCATTATCATCATTCACCAAACATTCAAACACCAATATTACAACGAAAAATCATCAACACAAAATCAACCCCATATACAAAATACTCAACATTCACATACACACACAAAATAAAACATGTACAACACACACTCCTTCATCATCATGTAGACAGAACATGGAACACGACTACGCAAATTAACATCGTCGTCCAACGAGAAATCTGTCCAACCATCAATGTCACTCTCATTACACCCACATATGTTAACAAGCAACAAGTGGATTGGTTGAGAGTACTTACATGCATTACACAAACTAAACCATCAAAACACACACAACCTGAACAACGGAAACATAACAGGGAACACCAGTGCTCTCCATTATCATCATTCACCAAACATTCAAACACCAATATTACAACGAAAAATCATCAACACAAAATCAACCCCATATACAAAATACTCAACATTCACATACACACACAAAATAAAACATGTACAACACACACTCCTTCATCATCATGTAGACAGAACATGGAACACGACTACGCAAATTAACATCGTCGTCCAACGAGAAATCTGTCCAACCATCAATGTCACTCTCATTACACCCACATATGTTAACAAGCAACAAGTGGATTGGTTGAGAGTACTTACATGCATTACACAAACTAAACCATCAAAACACACACAACTGAACAACGGAAACATAACAGGGAACACCAGTGCTCTCCATTATCATCATTCACCAAACATTCAAACACCAATATTACAACGAAAAATCATCAACACAAAATCAACCCCATATACAAAATACTCAACATTCACATACACACACAAAATAAAACATGTACAACACACACTCCTTCATCATCATGTAGACAGAACATGGAACACGACTACGCAAATTAACATCGTCGTCCAACGAAAAATCTGTCCAACCATCAATGTCACTCTCATTACACCCACATATGTTAACAAGCAACAAGTGGATTGGTTGAGAGTACTTACATGCATTACACAAACTAAACCATCAAAACACACACAACCTGAACAACGGAAACATAACAGGGAACACCAGTGCTCTCCATTATCATCATTCACCAAACATTCAAACACCAATATTACAACGAAAAATCATCAACACAAAATCAACCCCATATACAAAATACTCAACATTCACATACACACACAAAATAAAACATGTACAACACACACTCCTTCATCATCATGTAGACAGAACATGGAACACGACTACGTAAATTAACATCGTCGTCCAACGAAAAATCTGTCCAACCATCAATGTCACTCTC